AACAAAAAAGCCGTCCATGATCAGGATGATCAGAACCCTCCAGCTTGTTCTCCAAAGGACTGGTCTTCAGTGGAGGTGGTGCTCTGTCTTTGAGATACTCTGTCTTTGTTCTCCCTGTCTCCCAGCTTGGGAAACCTTCCTTGCCCATTTCCATTTGGTGTAACTATTCCTTCATCTCTCTGAAGACTCAGCATAAACGATTCTTCTCTCAGAAGTTGTTCCTGATCCCACAGCCTAAATTAGATTTTGCTGTAACCTTACCATGTGTCTCGTAACTGTGCTTAGTACATGTCATTATAATATGCTATTTCCTTTTCTTTCCCAATAGGTCATGAGGTTCTCTGAGGGATGGGGCAGTGGCCTATTTATCTTGATGTCCTTCAGCCCATTGCCTGGCATGTGGTAACTGCTCAATAAATTTTTTTTAAAAGATTTTAGTTATTTATTTGACAGACAGAGATCACAAGTAGGGAGGCAGACAGGCAGAGAGAGAGGAGGAAGCAGGCTCCTCGCTAAGCAGAGAGCCCGATGCAGGGCTTGATACCAGGACTCTGAGATCATGACCTGAGCCAAAGGCAGAGGCTTAACCCACTGAGCCACCCAGGCACCCCTAAATTTTTGTTTTTTAAATAAATGACTTTTTATACAGAAAATGTTTTTCTTAAGTATTAAAGTTGCAAGAGTGACTAATCCAGAATCCCAAAGTTAGTCAAGTTCTTAATATCAGCCGACACATTTCTGTACTTAATAACAACGTGACAACTTGAAAAACACCTCCTCCCCTCCAAAGTATTCAAGTGCTGTTCTACAGTAGCTTAAATTGTAGCCTGAATGTGAGCTCAGAACAAATCGCTCAGAATAACTGAGGGAAGTTTTTCTCTTACAAGGCTCTGAGGGTGAAAATATGGGGGTGGACATGAAAAATGGTAGGAAGGAAACCTAATAAGTAGCCTGTCTATAAACCCAAGTGGTTTAGTCATCTGATAATCACATCTACTTATCTTCATTTAAAATGCAACTGTGAGATGGGAGGCGGGGAATACAGAAATGTAATGTGCAGGAACTGACAGTGCCATGTGGACAAAGAAAAAACAGTCAAACAAACAGATTGTGGGAGACGTAACAAACCCTTAGCCACAGGATCATATTAAAGTCTAAGGGTTTAAAACACATGGTCCTTGAAATCAGAGGACAGCTAGTTATTATGAATTATAGTAAGAATATGATTTAAAGTAGCATTGTGTTCACTGGAAAATATATATTTGCATGATAGCAGGGAGTCTCTAAGTCACTGGTAACTGAAAAAACATTTTCCCGGTAATGTAACGTTTTGGAAAAAACACAGTACAATTCTTTGTTGGATGTATTGGTGAAATTTTTCTCTTACTTTTGGTGGAGCTGGTCAATCTGTAAATATTACCGAGTAGCACCTATCTATGTTCTCATATTCATGCTAAGTATAAACTACACGGTGACATAGCTTGTCTAAATCTAAATTTTTAACTTCTTACATAAACAAGGCACATGAATGATGAATGATTATTAGAGGTTATTTTTGTGTGTGATAACTTACGTGTGAATGTTTTATTATATTTTTCTTAAAGTGATCAATAGGACTTTTTAAATTTAAAAATATTATTTATCTTAGCATAAATCAATTCTTCCTCATTCTAAAAAAATGAGAAAACAGAATTAAGCAAGAATGAAATCAGAGTTATAATATATCTTGGCATATTTCATATTTAGGCATTTTTCTATACATATATAATAAAATGGGATAATAATATAATACTGCTGTCTACTTTATCAACTAACAATGCATCATATTTCTATAGCACTAAATATTCTTTTATTTAAAATGGCTGTATAGTAAATCATTATCTGATTATATACACTTGCTTAAACTATCCCTTACTCTACATTTAAGTTGATGCCAACTTTTCTTCATTGTAAACTATGCCATGCAAGTAATCTTTCTGGGGCAATTGAAATGTTCTAAATGTTAATAGACTGATAGTAAATATCTGTCAAAACCCATCACACTCTATACTTAAGATCTGCATTTTATTTACTTATTTTTATTTTTTTTTAAAGTAAACTCCATGCCCAATGTGGAGCCCAACATTGGGCTTGAACTCACGACCCTGAGATCAAGACCCAAGCTAAAATCAAGAGTCGGACACCAAGCCAACTGAGCTACGCAACTGACCAGATTTTTTAAAATATCGCTTGTGTTTTTTAGGTCTACCAACTCTACCTCTTTCCCATTGTGTCCTTTGTTCCTTTTCCCCCACTGATATTTATCCTTTACTTACTAACTAGGAAAAGCTTGTTTTTCACATGTTTCAAACACTTACCTAAGCTTTTCAACTATCTTTTAAAAATTCTGGTTAGGAAATTTTTTTTTAAAAGATTTTATTTATTTATTTGACAGACGGAGATCACAAGTAGGCAGAGAGGCAGGCAGAGAGATAGGAGGAAGCAGGTTCCCTGCTGAGCAGAGAGCCCAATGTGGGGCTTGATCCCAAGACTCTGGGATCATGACCCAAGCCCAAGGCAGAGGCTTCAACCCACTGAGCCAGCCAGGCACCCCTGGTTAGCAAATTTTTGATGGTAAGAACATTTGGTATCCAAAGTAAAACACCCTTCCCACACAAGACACTATAAATACTTAATACAAATATTCTCTGACACCCACTGATGATCGTGGGGCTACCTTGCCTCAGACACTGCTATGCACATAAAGGTCCTACCTTGGTGAGCAATCCCTTCACCGTTGGTTTGCCCTCAGGCTGCAAAAAAAGAGGGCTGGCAGCTTGTACTCGAAGAACATTCTGTAACACTTTAATCCATTCTTCCAATATATTGGGAGAATCTGCAGTCAGATAGTATGTATGTTTTTCAGTGGTCAACTAAAATGGGATGAGAAAGAGATAGGAACGGAAACTCTGAAGATTTAGGATTATTAGCATTTCCCTGTCTAGTCTAAAAACATCATTAATTACCATAGAAACAAACGTGCTATACCTTGAATCCTAGTTGCTAAATAAATGATTCCATACATAATTTAGAGTAGTTTCACCACTTTGTGAGAATTACAATAATTAACTTGGTATTGAAATAATTTTTTCACTTCCATTTACTTTAACATTTTTCAGAGTATTAAGCCTTTGAGTCATGGTTTTTTATTTCATTTAATCATTACCATTTCTTTTTCTCCCTTAAGTGTGCTACAGGTTCCTGGCTGTTGAAGTGAGCAGCAGCATGACTGGAGGTTGTAATAAGATATTTTTTAGCAAATAAAGAGTTATTTGTTATAGAAGTGAAGAAATCAATTATAAATAAAACAAGAAGTGTTTAGAAGAAGAGTAATGCTTATAACATATAAGATATTACGAACTCACAATTTTTCAGTCTTAAATTAACCACATTTCAAAATTTCCAAATATTTCAGAAGCTTGTAGCTGATTCTTTTTTTTTCTTTTTAAAGATTTTATTTATTTATTTATTTTAGAGGTAGAGAGAGAAAAGGAGAGACAGAAAGAGAGAGTATACATGGAGGGGAGAGGCAAAGGGAGAAGAGAATCTTAAATCGACTGAAAGCTGAGCTCGGACCCTGATGTGGGGCTCAATCCCAGGACCCTGAGATCATGACCTGAGCCAAAACTAAGATTTGGCTGCTTAAACTGACTGTGCCACCCAGATTCTTATCTGCCATGCTTCAAGATGAAATTTTTCCCGATTCTCCCTTCTACATTTTTGGGCAGTTCTCAGGTTATTATCTCCAGAAAACACTGAAAATGAGCCTTATTCCACTCTCCAAAGGAGCAAGATAAGAATATAATCTTTATTGAAGGTATTTCAGAAATAAAGTATCTGAATTTCAATCACATTTATCAAACTATCTCAAGAGTGTATGTTTTACATTGAGTAGGCTTCTAGCAAGACTGGCCTTATCGTGTGGGTTAATGGCCAGCAGCTATGTCTAGGGTGTGACCAATATTTTTCCCACTTAGGTGTTATAGCAGCTGAAGTTCATAGAAGAAATGCCATTTTTTGGTTCTATATCAAAATGCAAGCTCTCCTGAAGTTAGCAGACCATCAAACTAATAATATTGGGAATTAATTTCTCATATAAGCCTTCCCTAAAGTAGCTAGACAGTTTGAGAGCTGAGAGTAGCTGCGAGATCAAGTATAGGGAAAGAAGCATGTAGGGATAAAGGGCAAAGGAAGTGCTGTGGACAGGTACTCAGCATAAACCCAGCTGATGTTATATTTTTAACTGAGAAGGTCTAGGGTTTCACATGTTTTTTGAGGCACCACACTTAACAAAACAAAGAAACACCGAATCATCCAATCTCCTCTCTGTTAGCTTGGATCATTAAGAACTGAGTTTTGCATGATACAAAAAAGAAAAAGTAAAAAAAAAAAAAAAAGGTTAAAAAAAAGTACCTGAACTGTTTGTTTGTTATCTCCTCTTAAGATACCGCAGGATGCACTAAGTTCAATATGGCCCTGGGGTTTTCTAATTACATCACTCTGTAGGAAAGGAAGAAAACCGAAGGAAGAGTGATTGATTACCTGTAACAGTAGTAGTAAGAAATGCTTTGTATCATTAATTGCATTACAGGGAAGAAAATCAACCAGGAGTTTGATTTCTAGTTTGAGGAAGTCAGTTCTAAAAAGCAAGCGCTTCCCACTCACCGGAGATTTATAGTAAAGTAATTCACCACCTTTAAGAACAAACCACCTCCTCTTCCAAGTCTTGACTTTACCACTCATTTTTAATAAGTAGCCCGATTTTTCCAGTGGTTCCTAATTAAAAAGAAATTTTAAAAATTTAAGTTTCCCTTTGGAGCCTCAAACTAACAAGATTCATTAATATTTTCTTTAAAAAAAAACAAACTGGTTCAGTGTTTACGTTTTTCCCGTTATCACTGGATGATGAGCAGGTTTTAGGGAGCTTCTGCTCTGGCTGGGAGTATTCTGTGTCTGTAGAGTAAGCATCTGGGGGAATGGCATAATCACTTTCAGAAGCCACTGAAGACAGAGACACACCTAGATGAATAAAGAAATAAATTAAGTCAATATTTAATAATCAGGTGGCCCAAATGCTAGCTGTGAGTTCTCCTAAGGAATACAGCTATTCCAAAATCATAAGCCTTCCTAGACTAGATTTATTCTCATACCTTTGCCTAAAGAACTTTTAAAGCAGAAAACAGAACTAAAGGATTATGATGTAAACCTTCAAGGAAGTCACAGGAGCATGAACACGTTGGTATGATTATAAGCACAGCGAATTTTACATAAACTGTGTGACATATATACATATATAAGATATATGCAAGGATACTAATGTATCTTTTATTAAGGATTAAAAATGTGTGTTCACATATTTACATTGTATGTATTACATATATAGGCAAGCAAATGCTTGATTTCAATTTATCAAGGTTTGTACAAACACATTTTATTTTTTAGAAAGATTTTATTTATTTATTTTGACAGAGAGAGAGCACAAGGCGGGGAGCAGGAGAGGGAGAAGCAGGCTTCCTATAAGCAGGGAGCCTATGTGGGGCTCAATCCCAGGACCCCAGGATCACGACCAGAGCTCAAGGCAGATGCTTAACTGACTGACAACCAGGCACCCCTACAATTACATTTTAAACCACTTAGTTTTTGTAATCACTTTTTAAAAAATATTTTATTTATTTATTTGACAGATAGAGGTCACAAGTAGGCAGAGAGGCAGGCAGAAAGAGAGCGAGGAGGAAGCAGGCTCCCTGCTGAGCAGAGAGCCTGATGTGGGGCTCTATCCCAGGACCCACTGAGCCACCCAGGCGCCCCTGTAATCACTTTTAAAGTAATTCACATCCAAAAGAAGTATTAGTATCAGTATCAACATCAGTAGTATTTTTCATATAAGTTAAATACTACCAGTTTATAAAAATTTTTAAAATCTTTCTGTAAAAGAAAAGCAATAAGACTTAAAGATATAAACAAACTATTTCATCAGTAGTATTTTTCATGTAAGTTAAATACTACCAGTTTATAAAAATTTTTAAAATCTTTTTGTAAAAGAAAAGCAATAAGACTTAAAGATATAAACAAACTATTTCATTTGCCAGCAGTTACAAAGTAAAATTCAAGGGAATATTGGCACAATAATTCACTTGCTTTTTTTTAGAAAATGACTTGCAGGTTGCAAGCCACATTTGCAGGGTCCCTACAATTGGAGATTTTCAATATAATAAAATCAAGGACTTCCATCATTATTCATTGCAGTATCTGACAATTTTTTAAAGTGTTTATTAACATTTAAGGGACTTGTTAAGACGTCACTATATCATTATTATTGTTTATTTGACTAAGACAAGTAACAGTCATGACAATAATAATATCTTTATTTTTCATAGAACAATAGAAATTTAGATTTATAAGGGACCTCAGAGATCATCTTGATTAATGCCTTCATTCTCTAAGGAGACTAAGGTCCAGAGATTAAATCAAAACATTTGTTCAAAGTCAAACAGCCAGGCAGGAACAACGGTGGAGTGCAAATCTCAGGCGGCCAGCCCCAGGGCCAGTATGCTAGGCACTCCCCTAGGTGCTAGGGACAGAGCAGACGACAAAACAGAAAAATTTCTGCCTTCATTGGACATAGATTCTCGTCAGAGACAGAATAGAGACAGACAAAAAATTGGCAGTAAGTGCTAGGAAAAGATATAACATAGAGCAGACTAGAGGGAATTAAAAGTAGTTGGAGAAGAGCAATGGATTGCAATTTGAATGGTATGCTCAGGGTGGATCTCACTGAGAGCGCAGTGTTTGAGTGAAGCACTGTAGCAGGTGCCAGAGTTAGCCTGATAGTCATTTGGGGGGAAGAATAACAGACAGAGGAAACAATCAGTGTGAAGGTCCTGAAATCAAAGCATGCTGGCACATTTCAGGTATAGCAAGAGGGTCGGTGTGGCTTGAGCTGAGCAAGGAAGGAGAAAGGATATGAGATTGAAGACATAAGAGTCACGTATCACCTTATAACCGTTATGAGTCTTTGCAGTATTTTGAGCAATAGTGTGATGTAACCTGATACTGGCTTTTGGGGGTCAAGGTAGGAGTAAAGAGGCTGGTGGAAGCCCAAAATACTAAGCCTATCAAAGTTGAGCAGCTCCAGAAGTTGAGGGTTTGAGAATTACCTAGGAGTTCCATGGAACATGGTTTGAAAACCAACAGAGCACACTGCATTAAAGGCTTTCATAAAATACAGGTGTCATTTAGTGTGATTATGTCTGTCACCTCTACCTATACCAAAACTTTCTTCAAAATTCACTAAAACTCTTAGACATGCCCAAAGTAAAGTTTTCATTTCCATCCTAGTATCACATTAACCACCAAGTTTTTAGGTATATTTTCTCCCACTTAGCATAACAAATTGAGCAGAAATAAGTCCATCCCATAAATTATCCAAAATGCCACACACTAACTATAAAAGAGAAACCTTGTTTTGGCCAGTTATTGCACTCTATTCCCATAATAAATTGACTGCTCTCGTAGAGATAAGGTTAAAATAAAAAGATCATATGGCTTGGGTGGAATCACAGAAAGAATTAAGAAGAGAATTAGGACTAAAATATAAGCATCTTAGTCCTGGCTAATTCTCTTCTCACTTCAGGTAAAAGCAAGTACTTCGATTTTTTAAAAAGTCCTATTATGGAGATAAAATTCCTATTAAATATCCTGAATTACATGGAGTTGTCTTGTATGCCTGAGACTTTCCCTCACCGCGTTTCATGGCTCTGGGGCTGCCTGGTCCACTCCGGTTGCGTGCGTCTGACTCTGAAGTCCGGGAGCTGGATCTGGAGCTATCTTCTTCCTCGGACCCAGAGGAGTCATCCAGGAATGGGCTGCTGCTTATTTGCGTTGCCTTCTAAAGAAAAGGACGACAGCCTAGATGTGTCCATCTCTAAAGTCACCTCTCTTTTTAGATACGAAATGTTTTAGCAGAAGACATGGAATAAGATTTTTTTTTTTAATACAAGAATATATTTTGGCATTATAGAAGTCATGTTGTTAAATCCCAAATTCTCATTAGCAAGGCATTTGTCAAATACAAAAAATTCCTGAAAACATAATGCTGTTAATACTTAACAATACTTATTTTAATTAAGTACTTCAAGCAAGGGAAGGGAACCCTGGCAGTGACAGAAAAATCTTTCCAAATTAGGAATCTTCGCTACATCATTAATAGTGATATTTCCTTTAAACAATTAATCACCAGGGCGGGGAGGGCTGTGGAAAAGCACATGGGGTATAATAAAAATGGGCCCAGACCTCTAATACTCTGAGAAACGTAAATATCTTCCCTAGATCTTTCCATTTCTTCTCTTTTTATGATATATTAGTGTGAACGTCTACAACTCCCTATAAAGGGAAAGTCAGAGTAAAATGTCAAGAATGGAATCTGGAGCTTGAATAAACAGTTTTCCCGGTCCACCATGAAGAGAGCCACATGCTCAGCAGTATCAGTAATGACTTACCCCCTTCAAAGTTGTATACACTGGAGTTGTCATATTCTTGTATATTAGAGAGGTATAGAGTCCTGATGTGGTATAGGACAGCAGAGCAACAGAATCTGAAACAGGAAACAAAGTTATTTAAAACAACAACAACAACACCTTCTCTCTAGCACTTAGGTCTATTTCTTACGGATGCGAGCTAGCAAAATTTCCAGTTAAAGAGAAGTTGGATGAACACGCATGACGGTTCTATGGTCTGCCATAAGAAAGATGCACTCTCGTCCATGGCTCATTATTGCCTCACATGTGCTATTTCCCCAACTAGACTGTAAGTTCTTTGAGAGTAAGGATCATAGCTTTTATTTCTTTGGCAGGCATCTCCAGCTCGGCTGAGCAGAAATAGCATAAGCACCTGCTAATTCAGCGACCACTATCCTATGAAGATATTCTCCGATTCCTCATAATCCTAATAGTGATAAGGTGTTAAAACACCAGCATGTTTAAGACTTTATCAGGTGAACCTCATGCTGAAAGCTTAAAATATAATTTCCCCAATGGTAAGAACAGGAGATCACTTTGAAGAAACAGAACATCAATGATTGCCTCTAAGATTTGGTTTAGTGTTGGAGAGGGAGGGGGTTAGGGGAAGGAACCGCTGGAAAATTTCTCTTTTTATTCCAGATGCTGTTCACTATTGTTTGGTTTTACTTCGTATAATGGGAATGCATCTGCTTCTTCAAAAATTTTTTTGAAGAAAGAAAGAAGGGATGTGTTTTAAACTCTGAAAAAAAGGACATAGAGACTGATATTTTTGCAGTTTTAAACAGCTGAAACTCCACAGCTTCTTTGCTTTATCCCTTTTAGGTAAAAACAAAAAGAGTTGAACATAGATGGTTGTGCCCTATATTGGGTAACAGTGAATCTCAACTTTTGATGTAAATTGGCAACCTTAGAAATCATTTTCTAAAAGTTTTGCATAATTCTATTTACTCCAATGAGCTTAGACGTTTAGGAAGTTGTTGGCTAGTGAAATGGCAATACAACATCACTTATTTTTTGAAACAAGTTTTACTGTAGTAAGAAACACATAACATAAAATTTATCACCTTAACCATTTCTAAGTGTGCAGTTAAGTTAGTGTTAATTATATGTACACTGTTATGAATCAGGTCTCCAGAACTCTTTTATCTTGCAAACCTGAAACTCTATACCCGATCCTCTCCCCACCTCCACCCAGCCCCTAGTCACCAGTATTCCACTTTGTTTCTATGCATGCAAAATCACTTACTTTTATTAACATTCTCCATATTGAAGGCCTCAGACATTCGAATACCTGATTTGGCTACAGCATAAATTCTGCTCTCCTAATGTGAAAGAGAGATTTAAACTGGATGTTTAAAGCAGAGAAATGATTACTTTCAATACAAATGTTCTTCATTTAATATACACCAGAGCAGAGCATTATTATAAAACTATCATCAGTGCCAACTCAAATATGCCACCGTAGAAAGCACTGCAGACATTTTCCATCCATTAGTCATTCCATTATTTATCTTTGTTCCCTAGTTTTTGCTTGGTATTTTACGTTCTTTTGAAGAGATAGGAGAAAAGTAAGAGAAAATTTATAATCACTGAGTGCTCATAAACACCATCTTTAGTATCCTACCATTCTAGGATTAATCCTAGACAGGATTAAAGAGGGAAAAAAAAAAGCCTAAGACCTTGAATGGCTGTAATATGAGGTTAGAAACCATTCACAATCATTGACTACACATAAATAATACCTTTAATATCCTACTCTTCTAGAATATGGTGAAAGAAAGGAGAAAAATCTGGAAGTCCGAAATCACAGAATAGCATTAAGTGCTATCATCTCCTTATTTCAATGTACATTTCAGTGAAGTAGAAGGAAAAACGGAGGCCAAATAAAAAATGAATTTGAGAATAGCAATGGAATTTATAATATTTTCTTACTTCTTTTCTCTTCTTTGAAAGAAATCTCTGAAATGGGCACTGGAAAGGTTATTAGCCCTGCCCTCTGTAAGAAAAGGGATTCCAGGTAGTTCTTAACACATAATCATCATGTCCTGAATTCTCTACTGCATCTAACCTGGACGTGGTCGCCTGGATAGGGCATAGCAGGTGGCTAAGGCAGTCCTCTTCAGGACTGTGCCAGCCAGTGGCCTGCTAGGTAACAGGCACGGGATCCCCGCTGTCTGAGACATTTTCATTTGAAGAGCGGCTGAGTGAATGAATCAGATGCGGTTTCTTTGCAAACGGGGTTGTGAGATACGCACACAGAGACAAACGGCAGAGCCAGCGGAACAGAAAGGGATGTAAACACAGGAGTAAGCAGGAGACGAGAGGTAGCTGAAAGCACGACGGAGTGGAGGAGAGGAGTTAGCAGTAGTGAGACAAGCAGAGTCACTGCAGACGGGAGAGGTCAGGCTAAGCCACGGGTCCAGGGACACTGGGTGTCACCTGTTCTAAGGAGTTGACAATTAGAGGTGCTGCTGAATCCTCACTTTTTCCCACTATGGTGACTACTGTATTTTGAAAGATATTCCAATTCTGTAAGGATGGGCTATGCCTTCAAATAACCGCTTAAAAATCCTTAAAATGAACCCTCATAAATTGAGGTAACTGGAATACATCTCTTTTCCTTGAAACCTGAAAATACCTAACAAATACCAAAATAAAACCTCAAACTTGGCCAGTCTGCTAGTTGGCTTTTGAAAAGCAATACTACTTTTTCAGGACTGAATAGCTTCAGAAGACAAATTGAAGAGAGAAAGGCAAAAGAGTAGGAAAATGGTTTGCCAAATAAAACGAACTTAAAAAACCTAACCTAAATCTCTGAAAATCTCAACATAATAAAAGAAGCAAAAATTTCAAATCCTCACTGCCTAAAGGATAACACAATTGAAATTCCAGCGATTCACATGCCAATAATGTCTACTTTTTTGTGTGCTATCCAGAGTTTAATAATGAACTGCAGACGGTTTCATGTAGGCCCCAGAAAGAAATGTTCTTTTGAAAGTAAGTAAGAGCAGATACATCTTAAGGTCTGAATTTACAGTAGGAAAACATGGCTACCTTAATTTTCTTAAAATCACATTGGTCACAAAATAAATAATAACAACGGAATGTGATCCCCAAACCCTCAAAATCCTGCAACCCTAATGCTTCTCTGGAGGCCCAAATTTAAACTACGTCAATATGTGAAGGAGAAGTTAAATCTGCAAGACAGATAATTTCAGTTTGTTTCAAAGATAAGAATAACTTTTAAAATCTGGTAATAAAGATATTCCTATAAAGAATCACACAATGGTGGTTTACCCATTGTATTAATGGTCAGTGTTTTCAATGGAAGAAATTTCAATTTATTCTAGATACACAGGAAGATACTTTTGGTTAAAGCAATGGATTTATAAGCTCATGAAGAGAAAAGTTAGATTTCTCTTAAAGTTAATCAAGTAATAATTAAGTTCAAAAACTGATGACCAACAAGAGTTAAGTATCCTAGTTCCGAATTCGCCCAAAGTCTTACACAGGTAGGAGGAACCCTTCTTCCACACCCTTGATGTTTCCTTCCATGGGGAGGGAACTCCAGTAACATTCCGGACCCTCTCCAACCCATTCATTTCTCCCTCCAAAGGAGGAGGAATGGCTTAACGTGACTGGCAAGCCTAGAAGGAGAAAGTGGATAGGAACCTGTCTCTCTCCTTTCTCTGGCGAAGTAATAGCTCAGGAAATGCCACTTGTTCTTTCTCTGGGCTGCAAGCTACTTCGGAGAGATGACCCTCTCCTGAGGAAGCCTCTGGAGGTCTAGGGCTACCTGGGACTGGGCTTATAAATCTAGAGAATTCCAAGTTCAGTATTGGAAAGCTCATCTGCCCTGATTTCTCTAAAATCAGTTTTCTCAGTAATAAAGGTAATATTTTGATCTCCCACATGTCTTCACCTTTTCTTATTTCTCCATTGACGCACAACTCAGTGGGAAAAGAGGAGGGGAAACGGTATTCTGAAAACTGAGATGTTTCAGAACAATCTGGATCGTTAAAAAAACAGGAAAAGAAGTAAAGTAAAACCTGAAAATGGGTGTTAGTTAAAAACCAGCGTGCACGCATCGCACACAGAAATCTCATTTACCCAAGAGGGAAAGCGGTGCAGGGGCGGGGTGGGCGGTTTGCCACACGCCGGCTTCTTGGCCAAGTCACTGGGTTCCTGGTCGTCAGAGCACGGGGATTCCAGGGAGTCATGGGAAAACAATGCATCATCACAACTGGTGTCCATATTCTCTAAAATTTCTGTACTGTCATCATCAACCAGATCAAGGTCTGTTTCCTGAGGTCTGAGCGGTCGGATCATGCTTATGGCATTCCTGTTGGTACCAAACATCCTGTCGGAACTTAACTGTGGTTGGCTTAAGTGCCTTTTGGCGAGGGCCACACTTATGCTGAACACGTTAGGAATCCGTAACTTTGGGGGCGGCAGGTTTGACGAAGGCACTAATTGCATACCTTTTCCAGGCAGTGGGTTAGGATGCTTGGGAGTCAACGCTGGGGTCAAAATAGGGCTGGGGGTGTTGGCCTCACTGGATGACGATGAATAATCCAGTCTCTGAGACTGAAATTTTTTATTCAGTTCATCTGACGAACTGTCCTGCTCCTTTTTACTTGATTCAGAATTTCCCTTCACAAGAGGACAGTTCTGAGCTTTCCACTGGGCCTCCTGTTGCCAAGAATACAGCTTCTTGTGTTCTGGTCTCTTTATGCCAAAAGTCTCTTCTTCGAATATAGAACTGCTGTCATCGGACGCTGTCAGGTACGCCTCGCTACCCATTCTGCTACAGTGGACCCCTTCCTCTGATGTGTGACTGGAAAGGGTGGACGTGTATCTGCACTTGGACCTTCCTTTGCTCCCGTCTTCCTCATCAGAACTCCAGTCGCTCCCTGGGGCTCCAGAATTCTGGGATGTGCCACCATCTGTTGCAAAGCCCGTTCTTGTTTTCCGATTCTGTTCCAGGACACAGGGGGTTTGATGCAACATTCTCTGACCCCGGTTGTTTTCTTGAATTTGGTTCTCGCCTGACTTTTCTGTAATTTCCATTTCTAGAAAAGCATATGTCATATCAGCATGTTGTCTTTGATAATATAACCTTTCTGTACAGTTAGCTTTATGAAGCTACATTGTAAAAACTGGAATTTTCATATGACTAAAGTTAATTTACATGATCTTTTTTTTAGTTTTCTTGTTTAAACCCAACTTTGAAAACTGTAAGCTTTAAGGTAAAATATGAGCCCTAACACTTCAATATAAGAGTACTGAAATTAAACTGCTTTTTACAAAGAAACACGTTGGGGAAAAAGGATACTGACAACGGTTTAAAATGAAAGAAGCAAAATGTGAAACAGGGCAACTCTGACTATCAAAGAAAGCAGCCACCAAAGCATACCACTAATTCTATTTTAAAGCAAAGCAAAGGATGACACTCTTTCAACTAAATTTTAAAATTATCATAAGAAAATTTAAACATAATAAATATAAAGCTATAGTTTAAAAAAATAAAAAACAAACTTTGTTCCCAAGCTTCAATACATGGAATATGCAAAGCCATGAAAAAACATAAACACAGAAAAGCCTTCCTGACTCTACTTTGAGTTTATTCATAACTCCAAATGTGTTTTTATAACAAGAATAATGCTCTTTAACAATGTCTTTCGACGGGGCTTATTTTTGTTTTCAATATAATTAACAGAAGGAACCACTGGCTTCATAAACACCAAACTAAACATTTGTACAATTTATAAAGAGCACAAGAGAAACTTTTAAAACATAGACATGACTTTCATAACAAGGAACTAGAGGTTGAACAAATAAACTTGATGATTGTCTTAAAAGATTTTATTTATTTATTTGACAGAGATCACAAGTAGGCAGAGAGGCAGGCAGAGAGAGAGAGGGGAAAGCAGGCTCCCTGCTGAGCAGAGAGCCCAATGCGGGGCTCGATCCCAGGACCCTGGGATCATGACCTGTGGCCAAGGCAGAGGCTCAACCCACTGAGCCACCCAGGCACCCCAAACCTGATGATTTGATATCAGGCAAATTGTTAAATTTGCAAGTGGGCAACAGCTTCAGGCCAGCCAACCTCGGGTATACCAAGCTATACTCAACTGACTATTTGAAAGTGGAAGGAAAATTAACATGACTGCTCAGAAAAGAAAAAAAAATTGCAGGCAACAGCATAAAAGCAAGTAGCAAAGGAGAATTCTGCTTGGAAACATTATGTAGTTTTCAGGATTTCATGACCAAGTACAGAGCCGGCTTTTAGGGCTATAGTTTTTCTCCTTTGGAGGAAGGAAGCGGGAGCTGAAAACACAGACGATGCACATTCAAGGCTTTCTAAATATTTGGGCAAAGTCACACTACAGGTGGCAAAGCCAGCAGCTGCACAACAGAGCAAAATTTAAAGGGGCTTTACGAATAAAAGAAGGGTAGAAATCTGCACACAGGTCCAGGACTTAAACATCTATGCAAATGTTTTCCTCTTTGAAGCAAAACGGAAAAGGGAAAATCAAAGCAAATATTTTCCTCTTTGAAGCAAAATGGGGAAGGGAAAATCAAAGCACTTACTAAATTGTCTCCTGGTGTTCTTTTTCTTTATAAGTTTGCTATGCCAGATTTAACTTCATATTTAATATCAGGTAATTTTTAAATATTTTAAGTAAATAATAGAAAGTTCATAGTTCTAATGTGAAACTCAGCTAAAACAAGTACCTTGTAGGTACAACAGTGAACTTTTTAATTTTAAATATCACTGCTACCTATGGCAGGAGAAAGTATCAAGAGGGGAAAATCAGTCTCTTCCATGCATCTTTGTCAAAGACGCCAAAAAAACCCCACACAAGATAACTAGTTATACAAATTAAAGGCTGGATTGTTCTTTAAAAATATTTTCATACAACATCAACTTGTCAAGAAAAATAAAACACAATGAAATTTAAGTTATATTTGGATGAATCCTAGCAAATTATTTTTCCTTTTTAAAAAAAAGTCAAAGTAAATTTCTCCAGTCCATAAATACCTTCTACGTCTTTTCCCTCTGTGAACTCGTGTTCTTTAGATGATATCTTGCTCATTTCCTCAGATTTTACTACTTGAGGAGGACTCCTTGCTCGGGATAAAAAGCACCCAAAGGTCAAACTGCTTAGGCGCTGGCCTTCTGAAAGCTTTGGTGTAGAGAGAGTAGATGACTTCTTCCCTTGAACTTCTACAAGATCATTAATCAAAATCAAGATCTGAATTTTTTAAGACAGTTTATTAAACACAGAACCAAAGCATATAAAAGTCTGGACAAATCACTCCTTATACCAGAAAAAAGCCTAGTCTAGTAACAAGGACCCCTCAATGTCTAGTATCACACGCTAATGTTTAAATCTATTTTTATATTTTGAATGTTCTAAACATTTTTTAACTGTAGAGAGAACCTCTAATCCCTTTAAAAGTAGTTCTTAAACAGAAACAAAACCACAGACAAAAAAAACAGACTGTAGACAAGGAGAGGGTTAGAGCATCTTGCAAAATCATGGTAAAATTTGATTGGGCAGTAATGCTACTAATGGTGAGGGAAGAGGGACTGAGGTCCTCGTTGCCAGGACAACCAAAGAAATTCAGATCATCAGTTGGGGCAAATATCACATGGCCATTGTACTAACTTTTGCTATCTTAGTTTCCAGTTTGCTTTTCCCAAAAGAGCAGATGTAGGGGCTTGATCTATGATGACCACAATATGGAGGGCCCTCATCACTTCTTTAGAGGAAAAAAGGGGGGAGGGGACAGTTTCTAGATAGAGAATTTAGATAGCTCGAGGAGTAATTAATCACGAGTTAATCCATCTTCTAGAAGTTGTAACCTCCCTGCTTGCGAGATTAAAAGCATGGGCACCCGGGTGGTGCAGTCGGTAAGTGTCCAACTCTTATTTTGGCTCAGTCATGATCTGAGTCCTGGGATTGAGCCCCACATCAGGCAGACTTAAGGAATCTGCTTAAGGGGCACCTGGGTGGCTCAGTGGGTTAAGCCTCTGTCTTCAGCTCAGGTCATGATCTCAGGGTCCTGGGATCAAGCCCCGCATTGGGCTCTCTGCTCAGCAGGGAGTCTGCTTCTCCTTCTCTCTCTCTCTCTGCCTGCCTCTCTGCACACTTGTGATCTCTCTCTGTCACATAAATAAATAAAACCTTAAAAAAAAGCAATCTGCTTAAGATTCTCACCTCCCTCTCCTTTTGCCCGCCCCCACTCTCTTTCTCTTCCTAAAATAAATAAATAAAATCTTTAAAAGCATAGAGATCCTAGTGACAGTAAGAAAAGTTTCTTAATTTCTTTAATTTTAAAAATTAATTAAATTTTTAATTAACTCTGGAAGAACACCAAAGGGGTAAATTAAATAGCAGCTGAGAACTGACTGGAGCATAAGAAAAATATCTTTTAAAAAAATTGAAAAAAAGAAAAATATATTTTATAGTGTATTCTTTTAGGTATATCTTTTATTATTTTCATGTTGACTATGTCTCACAGAACTAATCCACAGTATTTTAATAACCACAGACATGCACATACATTTTTAAGGTACTATATTATATCTACTTAATTGTATCTATTCTTCTCCAGTCCAAGTTGAGACTCCTAGGATTCACACCCATTCATCTACAAGACCTAACAGACTGCCAATGAAGACTAGAATTGCAAACTAAGAATATCAGATAAAATAACAGCCTTTTCAGAGCTAGGCTTAGTACATTCAATCCATGTCTATGGTTTCATAGGTAAACATGGAATTCTAGATCAACCACATGGACACCAATTTCCCATCATATAGTTGGAGGAAGTGTGTGATATAAGAACTACCTATGTTGGTCTTCATCCATGGTTCTGGGCTTCTAAAACCTTTGGAATTTCCTAAGTGGTAAGAGCAATACAAGTTATCTTTCGTATTCATAACAAACCCTTTCAACCACATCTGAGCTTATGTTGATGAGGTGATTTTTGGAATGCCACTAGACAGCCTCAGGATGGGAGCTGGTTGCCAGGGGAACCAACCATGTGATTAGAAGACTGGAACTTTCAGCCTCAACCTCTATGACCCCCTACCTCTGACCTCAGGGGAGGGGAGGGTTGAAAACTGACTTAACCACCAATGGCCAATGATTTAGTCAGTCAAGCCTACACAATGAAGTCTCCATAAAAACCCGAAAGGATGGACTTCCAGGTTGGTGAATGCGTGGAGGTACTGGGAGGATGGTGTGCTTGGAGAGAACATGGAAGCTCTGTGCCCCTTCTCCATACCTCACACCCTCTGCATCTCATCAATCTTGGTTGTTCCTGAGTTTTATTTTTTGTAATAAACCAGTAATCTAGTAAGTAAACTGTTTGCCTGAGTTCTGTGAGCTGCTTAGCAAAATATCAAACCTGGGGAGGGTCATGGGAACCTTTGGTTTATAGCCAGTGGGCCAGAAGCAGGGTTGAGAACTGATACTTACAATTGTGTTTGAAGTGGTGTATGAAGTGGTGGGGTGGGTAGTTTCATGGGATCAAACCTGTAACCTGTGGGATCTGATGCTAACTTTAAGTAGATAATGTCAGAATTGGGTTAAATTTAAAGGAAAGCCAGTCGGTGTCCTCTGGGAATTGGAGAACTGCTTTGTGTGGAAAAACTCACACACAGGGGAACCTGGGTGGCTCAGTGGGTTAAGCCTCTGCCTTCGGCTCAGGTCATGATCTCAGGGTCCTGGGATCGAGCCCCACTTTGGGATCTCTGCTCAGCAGGGAGCCTGCTTCCCCCCCCAGCCGCCTGCCTCTCTGCCTATTTGTGATCTCTGTCTGTCAAAAAAAAACCAAAAACAAAAACAAAAAAAACTCACACACGTCTGATGTCAGAGGTATTGAGGGAAAAAGAAAACAGGGGCTTTTTCTTTAACAAAATGACAGCTATAAGTATGAACATGCAGCAGACAAAATGGTTTCACACGTTTTAAAATCAACAAATACCCATGAAACCAGGAAGGCACTAGTACCATTACCATTTTACTGATGTAAAAGAAAAAAAAATCCGGCAATATAACAGTTATTAAATCATGGGCATTAAGGTTGACTTCAAAGTCCATGCATTTGCTACTGTGCCAGCATTTTCCCAATGCATTCTGTGAACTCCATTTGTGGAAATGTCACAGTGGGTGTAAGAAGAGGCATGGGTAAAGCTGAGTCTGCAGAACTCTGGGCCCATCAACCAACACTGCTTTCTTTCACCTGTTTTATCTCTTGAGATTCTACAGGAAAAAAAAATACTGTTTTTTTTTTTGTTGTTGGTTTTGTTTTGTTTTTTTACTGTTTTAAAAGGAGTCCTGTTGCTAAATAAGTTTGAAAACCACTGTGGTAGGCCAGGATCTAATAACGCTGCGGATTCACCTTGTCCTCAGCTCAATGTGCACTTGACTGGTGCTCATCATAGCAATTATATTAAGTAAATATCTATCTCTAACTCTACCACCCATCTTTAGGCTTTGATGCTAAAAAGAAAGTAACCCTAAGCATTGGAAAATGCAAAGAGTTTATTATTCATATTATGAAATTCTGATGAAAATATTCAGGCTGTAAGAATTTCAGTCACTATTGATCACCACAACACAAGTGAAAATAGAAAATAACTGATTTTTTTTTATTAAAGGTTTTATTTATTTATTTGACAGAGAGAGATCACAAGTAGGCAGACAGGCAGGCAGAGAGGCAGGCAGAGAGAGAGAGGAGGAAGTAGGCTCCCTGCTGAGCTGAGAGCCCAATGCGGGGCTTGATCCCAGGACCCTGGAATCATGACCTGAGACAAAGGCAGAGGCTTTAACCCACTGAGCCACCCAGGCACCCCAATAACTGATTTTTTAAAGCAAACATACCTGAAATTAAACATTCAAATTAGTATTACCCCCTTTGGGTTATTTGCAAAATTGTCTAGCTGTGCTAATATAGACATGTGGCTCTTTAAATTAAAATCTATTCAAATTAAATAAAATGTAAAAATTTAGCTCCTTGGTTGTGCTAGGCATATTTCAAATGTTCAACAATAAAATTCTGTATAGCCTAATAAACATAACTAAGCTATCTTAGTCAAAATACTCATACCTTGTAGTTTTGACTGTAATGTTCTTATCTCTTCGGTTTGGTTTTGGTTGATCAAACGAAGATTCTGATTTTCTAATTCCAGCTGAAAGGACATAATGGTATCCTTTTATACAGGAATAATATTTCTAAAATGTACTAGCAAATTATAATATTTTAAAATGTTAATACCTAATTACATGTAAGCAAAATACAAAAAGAATGATGACCAAATATCAGACGAATTTATCATCATAATTATCAACCTAGGTAATTAGGGCTCTGATATTTATTTTTTCCAGAATGGAGAGTTCAAATATTTTCACCCCAGGGAATTTTCATGCCTTTCCCATTGTAAAATTGTTTTAAATCAAACTTCATTAAATTTCAGCATTTAATCTGCCATATAAACCCATGTGTACTTCTCAAGATACTAAACACATTAATTTGTGATATATACATATGTTCTATAATTATTTAAAATTAGCTAATTAGAACTAAAATCAACTACCTAGAATGAGGCTACTTCTACTGTTTACTAGGAGTCTATCAATATTTTTAATTTCAGAAATACATTGGACATAAGAGTGAAAGCTGCCGATCTCACGTTTGCCAAAAGACAGCAGCACCACCAACTGATCAGAATTTTGTTTCATTCCAAATGATCAGATACTCTGATGACTTATCTATTCAAATTAAGTAAAAGATAAAGAAAAGGCAAAATATAGGAATAAATACCTCATTTAATTTAAGTGTTACCCATTCTTTGATCTTAGCTGCTTTCTCTTCTATAATTTTAGCTTCTTGTATCCTTATTTGTTTCTGAAATAACATTAGCAGTGCATTTAGTTCAAACATAGGCTCACTGGTCTAGAAACATTACATCATAAATATAAAGGACCAATCCACTTAAAACCCATTTCCAAGTTAATACATCTACCTTCAAATCATCAAATAGAGTAAAAAAACGAGAACCATCGTCCAGTAGACATAATAATAAACCATAAAGCATATGAAAATATTACTAGTTTGAACAACTGTTAAATTCTCTTTCTCAGAAAGATCTTACACTGAAATCCAAGCACTGAATTTATCAAAAAAATAAATGATTTCTGGAAATGATCTAGGGTTTATAACTGTAGGAGAGGGGTCAACCAGGTTAGGGGGAAGAGAATCAGAATCTCTTCTGGAGCATGGTTTGTTTTCCCCTCAATTACAAGTTTTTATTTCCCATATATTTTATTTTATTTTTACATGCAAGTTTTTAAAGATTCAGCAAAAATGAAATAAACTCTAGCTCACATTTACCAACCTTAAAACCTGGTTATGTTCACAAAACTAGGAGAATGTGACTGTCATATAAATCACAGTGGGTGGAGGCTGGGGGTGGTGAAAAGTTGGAAACCATTGACCTAAAGAAATACAAATTCCCAGAGTAATGGGAAAAAAATTCTGAAGATAAAAAACAATTTAGCAGATTTATTAATTTCATAGTAGTCATCCTTAAGTGATGCTAAATGATGATTTAAGCAAATGACCTTAATGCAATTTTTTCCCTAAATAAATAAAAATAAATAAATAAATATTCCTAAGAAAATTTTAAAATAAACTAAAAACTATACTTGATCTCAGTAAAGTGGTTTAAAGACAGTGTATACATTTTTAACAGAAGGATCCACATCAAACGTACTTTTAAAATACAATGTTCCATAAGTATATCCAACACCCTAAAAATCTAAAGCAAAGATCTATCTCAAAGATTTTACAGAGAGAAATGCCTGCTGACAACCAAAAGTATTGAAGCTGAAAACTACATCATACTCTGAAAAGTCTGAAAGTTAAGGAGCACAGTTGCATCCAAAAAGTGTTAGATATGGCTTTGGAATCACCCAGACTTAAAGAGAATACCATTTTATTTGTACCTTTTACCAGTAAATGTGATTAGACTCCAGGAGCTGACGAAATAAGTGAGATTTCTGATCCAAATTTAGAAGTGTGGGCTCTCTCTTTAACTTTTGTGATTATGTATAAATAAATGCATGCATTTAAACTGTGATGATCCAATTCTTCCTAACCTGTTCTTCAAGCTGCAGTTCCAAGTTTTGAATGATGTCATCTTTTTCTTGTATTAGGGTCTCCAGATCTTGACACTTTTTATACAGCCTTGTTTCTGATTCACTGGTTTGAATATTAGCTGCTTTTAATTTCTCTTCCATAACTTGTACCTGAATTCAGAGGTTAGAAAATTAATATTATGCATGTAATTAATTTATCACAGTATTAAACTTAGCATTTTACTTTAACCTTAAATAGATTCCTCAAAGGTATCATCATAAAAACAAAATATTGTATAGCATGTTTTAATAATTTAATAATTATAAAGTCGGAAGACTAATGTATTTAACAATTATAAGGTCTGGAGACTATTTTGCTAAGTGGTGTTTACCTTTGAGGTACATAAGGGCACAGAAGAGATTGTCAGAATTTTGCTATCATGTAAGTAATGCACATGTTTACTAGAACAATGATAATATATGAAATATTCCATGTTAGTATAGAATCAGAAAGTTTGCAGCCCTCATTTTTTCATATTTTAAAGGAAGCAGGAATATAAAGTAAAGAAGTGAGTAGTGAGAAAAGATCAGGTTGGATGACCAGGTGTAACAGCACATTTTGGGAAAAAAAAAAAAATTGAACTTGGGTGAAAAACAAACACACACAATGGAAAGGAAAAGGAAAACAAAAAAGCTTTAAAGCCCCAAATGATGGAATACAAAAAATAAAAAACTATGAGAATCAAGATGTAGGTAAGGGAGTATGTTCAGTGAGGGTTTATTGATTCATTCATTTAACAAACAGTGAATAGTTGCCAAGTGCCAGGCCCTGGGAAGACATCAGTGAATAAAATGGACCCAAAATCTCTGTCTGCATAGAAATTACATTCTAGTGGGTAAGAGAGATCACAAATATAAGAAAGATGTAAAAATCATACAGTACGCCATACAAGGAGGTAAAGGCAGTAGGAAAACATAGAGCAAGATAAAAGATACTGGTGTGTGATCTGGGGGGTGTGTGACGCTATAATTTTAATACCTAAGATACACTGGCTCTGCTTGAATCTTTTGCAACACACATTTGGGCATATGAAGAAATGTGTGAGATGTTAATGACAGTAAGAAAGAAAGTACTGGGCACTGTATATTAAGACTTCTATTCCATATACTCCAAACAGGCAAGAACGTAATTTTTGTAATGTTTTAGATTGTAGGGGGCAAAGAAGAAAAATACGCAAAAGCATTTGAGAAATTATTGAAAATTACAATGAAACATCTTAAACTGTTAAAAACACCTCTGAAAAATCATGATGAATCGACTTAGAGTTCAAAAATACTTGACTAATGAGGGTTTCTGGAAGGAGGGTGTTAAGGTTAGTTTGGTTCTGTTTTTTTAACCGTGAATACAAGGTGTCATCTGTAGGTTCACCAGAGAAATGTAAACTCAACTCAGATGCCAAAGTGTCCTACTTAAATACCACGCAGATGTCTGAAAACTATAAAAACAAGAGTAGATTTTAAAAGTTGGAGAAAAATCCTGCATTCCA